ACGCATACGAGTGTTGTTGTTCCGACTCTGAACGGTGAGTTCGGCCAGTCCTGGTATCACCCATCTGACCATAAGACGCATTTTGCCCCAGCCAGTTCATTAACCCGCGCACCGACGCACACTGGTCGGAAACGCTCCAGCGAGAGGCCAGCGGCCTTTCCGCAAAAGTTGTTCGCTTGTTATTCCACAACTAGTGAAGCAAACTTCATAAACCTTTCCATACCTTCTCTGTCATATGTAAGCTATCATTTGGATGTCAAACACTAAATATATGACGTGAATCTGTTAAGTTATGACGTCATAATTGAGTATAATACAGAATCTAGCACCACTTTAAGTCAACAAGGGAAATTGGGAGCTGCTATTCGGGCACCGGGAATGGTTTCATGCACTCCTTGCAAGGTCCAGTGCTTCACTTTAGCATTGGTGACTTTGCGTGACGTCATTTATGACGTCACTAAGGCCATATAAGTTTTTCGTCAATAACTCCTGATCAGATGGAGCTAGAGAGTCGGGAAAGCCACCATTGGACTCAGGAAGACCTGCCGAATCGAATGATATGCGATATGACCTCCTTCAACCATTTTCGTGACCTGAGGGGCTCCGACCTGACGTTGACCCGGGGTTAACACCTTAAGTTGACTTCACCCGAACACCAAGAATAGCATTCAACGCGCCTGAGCTAGACAAACACGATGATGCCAAAATCGCGGCAGTGCGGCCATTTTAGGCAAAGTAATTAACCTAAAACCGAGCCCGTGCCTTGTGGCACTTACCTGACCTAAGAGGTCACTGGCTGACCTAAGACCTTAAAATCGGGTAGTACCTAATTGTTGCGTCTTACTCGTATAACGGCACACAAGCTCTTTTTTTCCGCGAGGCTCTAGCTCAATTAGAGGCGAAACGGCGAGGGAGTTGTACCAACCCTCCCCGGTCAATGTAGAAAACCAATCGGTCCGGCCAGGGTTAAATACCGGAATTGTGATCTAATGTAAAAAGACGGCCCAAGGTAACCCGACGTCAGTGACAGGTGTCCTATATTTGCAGCGTCTTATATTCACGAAGGTTTCAATTTCCACTTTCTTCAGCCGAGTGATGGTTGTCAATAGCAAGGCTCTCTAAATGCAAGCCGTAATCGCCACGCAATATGTGGAAGGCTTTTGATGTCAATACATACATAAATGCATACATAAAACGCGCTTTTCACAAAATTCATAAACTCAAACGCATCTGTTTTTAATGACCAGTCAACTACGCATGGATGCGTGCAGGCCACACAGGTCAGCGTAAGCCGGGCGCGGCGGCCGAGCCGAAACTGGGGCGGGGTGGGCGGTAGTTGGGTAGGAAGAGCGGCTCCTGCAAATTTTGCGCAAATATGCGCAGTTAGCTTTTATGTTGCCCTGGTGTAAATTTAAATCCTGCTTCATCTCACAAAAAATCAGAGTGGAACTAGATGGGACTACCTGTTGTTTCCTTACCTAAACTTTGCAGTTATATTCCAGAATCACTGAAGGAGAGCCTTCATAAAAAAGCTACAGTAAAGCTTAGTTAGGGAAAAAGTATACCAACAATTTTGCACTGACCAGTCGGCAACTTCATAAGGAACATTTTGATGCATAATATGTGGGATTTCAATTTGGTGTCTATCAGCAATAAGACTCTGAATATCCGGCTCAAGAAACCTCTTGCTCCGCGTCAGTTTCCGAGTTCTGGGATACCCCATCTTCGGGGGCTGATTACAGTTATTTTTAGTCACCCGGATTAGTTTTTTTTTTTTTTTGGCCGAAGTATAATAATTTGATCAATTTCAAATCGATCTATATAAAAAATAATCCGAAACTCCGGAATCGCCCGTGGCCTCTCGTGAGGGCGTTTCCGACCAGTGTGCGACGGGGGGGGGGCGGATATCCGCCCCCCCCTGAGGTTTTTCGCGGATAGCGGGAAAACCGCGGCGCGTAGCGCCGCGAAATTTGGTATGACTATTCTCTCATCAATTTTACACATGGTGTGCAAGTTTGAACCTCCTAACTTTTAAGGTCAGGTCACCAGGTCACTTTGAATGACCCAACCTCAAGTCACTTTTTTGCAACTTTGTCACCGTGCCAGAGCTACAGTAGATGTCGGAGGCCTTTGAAAGTCGCAGGATGTTATAAGGTCATTAGTAGCTACAATTTGTATATCTCGGAATTTTGATATCGGTGACCTAAGGTCAGGTCAATTTCGCGACCTCCCCATTATAAGTCAATGGGGGAAAAATCAACTCCCTGTTTTTACCACTAAAACGGGTCGGAATGGCCCCATATACCATACATGACTTCATATACGATCAACCTTCACTACCTTGAGGTCTGTTTTGCTGTTGGGCAGCTGTAAGGTCATGTGACGTCATCAAAGGTCACCAAAGGTTTTTTTGCCAATAACTCCGTACAGGAACAAGATACAGCCGCGCAGATGGTCTCATTGTGTTCAGCTCGTCAAGACGCATCGAATGATATACATGATGACCTCGAGGTCACGTGACCTGAGGTCAACCTTTGACCTTGACCTGTCGAGGTCAACATATATATCATTCGATGCGGATTGACGAGAGGATCACGATGATGCCCTTAGTTTGTTCCTATCTTGACTAATTCGAAAGTTATTCGAGAAAAACTCTCTCCATATCTAGCGCCGCCATTTTGACTTTTTCGACCCCTGTGACGTCATCTTTGACCTGACCTGAAAATGACCTTAGTAAAAATTGTAGACCTTGTCCGTGCGTATCCGATGCCGTTTACCGCTTCTCGCTATCTTGCTTCGTTCTCGAGATCTCAGGGGGGGCGATCATCCGCCCCCCCCCCCCCGTCGGTGCGAAGTTGGCGCAGACCCCCGTCGGTGCGCGGGTTAAACGGGTGCATTATCTTCTTTTCCAATGACTGTTTATATTCGCCCGAAGTTCGTGCAGCTAACGCTGTCAAAAGTGCAGTGGGTTCACCGAATCTTCTCTGGTTGTGCTGCACCGCGAAACATTGACCAGTTGAATACGCATTGTATGACCAGCTGGATTCCAACTACGATTCGCGCATTGCGATGTGGTATTTAGCAGTCAGTTGATTCGTCTTTCATCATGCTGTAACGAATAACCACTTTTTGCATGACCATAGACCAGTGTGTCTAGCCCTATTCGAACTGAGCCTAAATGATTGAATGCTATACGTGATGCTTGGCAACTGCTACTATACCTCTGACAGGCGACAAAATATTACAGGCTGTTATTACTTTTGCAATAGTCAAACATGTCCGAGTAAAATTCGTAATACAGCGAAATGACAGAACACAATAAGCAGATCCAGGGTTCCGTGATCCATAGAGCATCTGCTTGCTGCTTCCGGCACGGGAAATTGCTGCTCGATACAACTCGAAGCAGGCTCTGGATGCCTGCAACTTTCTTGCCTTTTTTATCCCTTTCCCCTTAGGCAAATCACTGAGGGATTTGAAGGGTGCACCCTGTCATCGACCGCCTGGTCAGATACTACTTCTGAAACTTCTCAACCGAATGACTTCACGTCGCCACAGCGCGCTACCGCTGATGCAACTCTGCCTATTTGTGTGAGGTAGTGTGTTACGCGGTCGCATGTAACGTGCGACCGCGCTGTCCCGCCACAGAACAAAACTTTCGCTGATTCTGAACATCGAATCACAATCCATGCTGTAAATAACGCGAAGGACCACCTCCGGAATTACGGAAATGGTGTCAGGACTAGCGTTAAACTTCCCACCTCCATATTTTGTAATGTTCTGAGCGTAACGCCATTTGAAAGAGATACGAGTACATATCTGTTGGTCGCTGGTGCTCGGCAGTCGGTGCCAACTGTCTAACTTTGAATCCTGACCAAAGTCAGCTTATATGTGGAGGGATCCACTCTCGGACAAGGTTAAATCTGATAAAACTCCTCTCGAATCAATATGGCTGATGTGAAAATTAAATGGCAAAACCAACATAAAATTCGTAAATGAAAATATTATTTCACAGATCTATGCATCCACTTATCTAGCCATCCATACAAATTTGCAAGCGTAACAGGAAAAACATTGTAGTATGAACCGAATGCAAATATGCTTTATGAAAATAATGCTTTGTTTACAAGTTTTTTTTTTGCGTTAAGTGGCACCTCCCCCATCATACTAAAGAGGTTGAATATGTTTCGCATACCAATAAGCTGCTGCACGCCATTATACTATACCTATTTGAAAAAGTCATTGACATGGCCATCGAAGCAATGATCTGCATGCAAATTGGCCACACATTGTTGTATCGTATCGCTCATTGTATTCCACCATTCAATCTATACGTTACGCTGTCGATAAGCCACGAATACGCTGGCAGCCCATCAACACGTCCGTTTAATCATGCGAAACATCGCACTGTTGGCGCGCTCTGGATCGTCCATTTACGCGCCGTAATGCTCATTAAATTCATTTACGCGCCCGTTAAAAGGACGCAAGCAGCGGACCGTGCCGGTTCTGTCAAACCGTTAAAGAGCAAACGCATTCAAAGGATAACCTTTTTGTGGTCCTATTGCAGCTTTTTCCGGCTCTGCATACTAATGAAGCTCGTCTCATGGCGTTTGAATTGTGACGCATGGCGGTTTCAAGAGTTCACTTGTATGTATGATGTTGAGTCAGGTGAAACTGGAACATGTGTTGAAAAGTGGTTTTATTTCCGATTATATTTCTCACCTCAAGTTGGGACTTTCAATTCTTTGTTTTGTTCGAAAGTTGCAAAGTTAAAAAATCGAACAATGTTTGGTTCGTTTGCCTAACTGCGACATCGGAATACAACTCATCTCACACGCATGGTAACTTCCTCAGCGCTGTTAGTGGCGCTTTAGCGTGCCGCACTGGCAGCTGCCTTCTAGGCACTGATCCGCGCTAGCCCAAACATCCAACAGATTATCGCGCGACGGATTATTTCATCGTCCCGCGCCGCTGACCGCGCCCATCCCTCATCAGAGATCATCTTATGAAAACATCCGTTTATTATCTAGAACACGCAACAATAACATGGCCGATGAGCAGGAGGATAAGATGCGGGCAGACGGGGCGCTGGCCGCCGGCCACGCCGTGCTGCATCGCCGCCGGGTGCTCCCCTGCCGGACAGACAGACAGACAGCTGGGTCAGCGACCGGGGACAAACCGGAAACAGACAGCGCCGCCCGGGGACAACCGGAAACGGACAACACCTCAAACCAGACACGGACAGCGCCGCCCGAGAATAAACGGAAACAGACGACGCAAACCGGAGACAAAACGGAAACGGACAGTGCCGGGAAACGGACACGGGCAGCGCAGCCCATAGCTAAATAGAAAACGGACAGCGCCGCCTGAGGACAAACCGGAAACGGACAGCGCCGCACGCAACGATTAGCTAAAATGGCGGCTCGAATGACGTTGCTCACGAGATACTCTGTTCGTTTTAGACGCAGTATGCAAATGCGCTCGTGTCAGGCTAAGAGGATTAACCAGAGCCATGGACGTATGTGCAGCGCTAAAGCTGGACGTTTGACACTCCAGAGTTTCCTGTCAACGTTATGTACTGACACATTTGTTGTAATTCAAAATTAAGAGGCAAATTTAGTGACTAAGAGACGCCATTTCTGACACGGTGACAAATAGGTACAGCAACGATATAAGCTAGCAATTATTTTTTTTTCCTGCAGCAATCTATGACATTTCTCAAAGTTCATTTTATGATAAGAAGTAGATAAGTTGCCAATTTGTCACTTTTACAGTCGTAGAGCCGAATAGCGGCTCCATATTCGCTTATTAGTTTCTCTAATCCAGCTCTGGACTGCCTGCAAACTGCACATTAACCTTGTATAAGCAATGCCGACCTCATCAACAAATGGCTTAGGATTGATTACTTCTTGTTCGTATCTACCCTCGGCCCATTGAATGGCCCAATATGGGCGATTGTCTACCTCAAGACGTTGGACATGCTTCATGTTCGGCTGTGATACAGAACCATTCCACCTGAGAACTGACGTCTCGCACGAGCTCATTATGGCACCAAACACGTGATTACTGCATTCTGCCATCCCATTGTGAGGCTCGTTTCTCCGAAACACCTCCGCGGTGCCGCAACCGTTCCAAGAACACAGCTCGAACTGATCACCAATCGCTACCGTGGCGGCCCAGGTCACGTGACCACTGACCCGTGACCTCCCCGTGGAGGGGGGGGGGGGAGGGGACTCACCGCTGATCACGTGCACCTGCACGTCTGCGTGCGCGGCACGTGTGGGCGCGCACGTATAGGTGCCCGAGTCGGAGTCCCTTGCGGACCGGATGACGAGTCGCGAGGTGACGTACTCGTCAGAGCTCTCTGTGACCCAGCGCTCCTCCCCGAGCGGACGGCCGTCCAGCAGCCAGGTCAGCTCCACTGAAAACGGAGGGCAGACGGGATGAGAGGAGGGGCCAGCCCTTCACTTCTGCGAGTGGGAAGGTAAAAGAAAAGTAGGTGGAGCCGTGGAAATCCGTATAAACAGCAACGGTGAACAAACGATTGACAATGATTGAACAGCATACGTGAATAAGCAAATGGTACACAAAAACCTTTCGCGAAGACAATATGCATAAAAAATACGGTTCCAATTAAAATGGAGACGCCAATTACACGATGCGTTCCGTTACAGTTACCAAAAAATAAATGCGCGAATCTGCACACAAAGGCCAGCCAGTCCTTGGCTAGCTGACATTGAACGGATTACGGTAGCCAGATGGCGCGGCTAGCCGAAAAGCTTACCATTGCTGTTCCTGGGCATGTTTACCACACAGGTTAGACGCAGAATGGAGTTGAATTTGGCAAACACTCTCCCAGGACCTTGAATTCTTGCAAAAGACTCTGAAACAAAACAAAACAGGTTAGTGGTGCCGAGGGAAGGCTTAACGATGCTTTTGTAGGTAAGCTTACCCATGGTATGTACAGTCTACAGCAGAAGCAATGTGCGGTTTCAGTCATGGGTATGTTCTGCTTCTGAAGCTTAGGAACGATTATCCAGACTGCAACGAGACTTTAAATGTAGCTTACATGTATCTTCACCCTTGCAGCTACAATTTTATCTATTGACGTCTTCTTTTCAATCAGTCTGCATTTGAAAATAGTCAGTCAAAGCCATCCGTTGAGATTGGTACAACCACACATTACTTAAGCGGTGGACTGTACATCTAATTCTTGAATTTGGTAGAGATCATAGATAATCCCTTTACCATCCAAAATTTATTAACAAAATTTGGCAGCGTAGTAAGCTTATCCATGTGCTTAAGCATTTGCTTCATAACAACGAAGTTCATGCCATAAGTTATACAAACTCTGGCTGAGGAATGTGGCTGGATGATTTGGTTGCCGGCGCGGGCGGCGCCATCCGTTTACAGTAACGCGAGCTGACGGCTGGGACGTCCGTTCTGAGTCGGTTCTCCATTCAGCAGGATATTAAAGAAAGTGGCCGGGGCGGTGGGTAATCGGCCCCACCAGCTGGAGCTTAGACGGCTCATCAGCCGGATCAGCCCCCTCTCCCTCCGCCCCCTCTGCCCCTGAGCTCCCCCCCCCCCACACACACACCTCCTCCTCCAACGCAGCGCAGTCGACCCGAGAGAGGTGAATATTCGTCAGACTTTGAAACGTGCGCGGTACACTCACCCACAACGTGCAGGTTGAAAGCCAGCGAGCGCTTCGGCTCAGTGTTCACTTGGCATTCGTAGATGCCCGAATCGCGCGTCTGTGAACAGGAACGGGAGAAAAATGTCATATCAGCGGCATAGTGGTGGGAAAGATGCTGCCAGCACCTCTAATGTGGTCAGAGAACAAAATTGCTGCGATGAGATAATGTATTCTCTTGGCATTTATTGTGATGTCGAAAGCGTATGGGTCAGAATAAGCAATAGCTTTGGTTCAATTTTGTCATGCTTTCCCTAATGTTCCTGATATATCAACAACGTATTTTATTTTTGTTTGTTTTGAATGCATTGATCAATTGATCATAACTGAAGCTCGTTTGTGTTTTAATTTCAACAACAACAAACACATTTTGTCGTTGGCAGCAACGAACATCGCTCGTCTCATAAATCAGTTATGCAGCAAACAAGTCATTAACTAATTGCAATGTTTAAGCCCTGTGGCGTAGCTAAATTCATGGCACATATTATTCTCGCTAACATTGTTACGTTCCCTGGCAATAGCAATAAGTACGGAGGGAGCGCAATGGCTCACTCTGGCAGGAAATAACGTCACCATTAGTCGGTCACGGCCGGGTTTTGGCGCACCCGCCTCACCTGCGCGTAGTTGACGAGCAGCGTCCAGTTGCTGGAGCCCTCCTGGTGCGCCACCTGGAACCTCGCGTCGGACGTGTACGTGAAGATGTCCGTAGTCAGAATGTGCAGGTCACGCTTACGGATCCACGAGACCTGTGAAATAGAGGATAGGTACGGGTGGTAAGATGAGCTGTGCCGGTTTCTCAGCTGGAAAATGGTGAATGTTGGGGCCTAAGCACCTCGTAATCGGGAACGATTTTCTTAAAATAATGCTCATAGTCGAATCGTAATTCATTCGATTATAATTATTGAATAAGGTGTTGGGGAATGTTATCTTAAATTTTCCAATGACGCATTCATGGCTACGTCTCGTTAATCGAGCGCGCCACAAGGAAAGGTTTACGATTTCGTCAAATCCCTAACCATAAAACATCATGAATGGCTAATGAGTACATGCAGATGGTTAAACATCGGCCCACCTCATATGATCATATAGAGTACATCGCAGAGCCCGAGTCTGGAAATGCTCCTTGATTGCTCGGTTTGCACGTAGCATGTTCAACATGTGCCATTCGCTGGACAGTGGACAGCACAGAAGGCCCTGAGGCGTGCTGGACTGTTTTTAATGTTTGACTGTCCAGGAATACCTACTCGGCGCTCTGTTTATTTGGATGGCATTGATTGCAGGCGCCCGATGGCATTGTGAGGTAGTATGTTTTCACGTCTGCCCTTCAATATAGACGATCGAAGATTGATCTTGTGTTTATACATTCCACATCCATCGACTTGATGAATTGTAAACGTGGGGTACGACAGAGATTCATTCTTGTTTAACCGTGACGATATGGGATCATATTGAAGCGTCATGACATTTCAATTTGTTTTTTTTTTTATCGGATCAGGTTGGCAATGCCAGATTGCAATAAAATATATCTAATGCTTGTCACACGTTGCATGTATGTACCTTTGTAATATTTCAATAATTATCCTCTGGTTGCAATAGAATAGTACCGTGGTTTGTTAGCCTCATCTAATAGCGACAAAACAAGAGATAAAAATATAAAAACATGACTTGCTTTGGGGCAAAGCTATAACTATTTTCATATGGAATTCGTTAACAAATCCATTCTTAGATACGCTCTCAGCTTTTATTGACAATTTGTATTCCTTATAATTATGTAAGTGGTAATATCGATAGATCGACGATTTTTTTTTCTGGACAAAGTATAACACGACTGCCGCCAGGCACGCTCAGCGTGGTTGCTGGCCGTTTCTTGTTGTCAGGAATTCGTGATTGTCTGAAATAACTCCTGTTGAAGTCCGGACGAGCCTCCGGCAGGCGGTGAGCCGTGTTTGCAGGCCGCTAATTTGTCTGTTGTGGCGCCGGGGATTGGCACGTTTCCGAGCCATTGTCGTAATATAGTGCTCTGATTACGGAGCGAGCGAAGCGAGCGTAGTCTTTCCTTAGATTAACGGAAATTTCTGAGTATGAGCGGCCGGCCGGCCGGCCGGCCGGCCGTGCGGACGCTTTTGCGAGGCTTATATCTCAGCAACCACTTGACCGATTTACACGTGGTAATTTTTGTACGGTAGCTTCATTCCTTCTACCAAGTATTGGACTATTCCCGATGCATGTAGGTGACCCCTTATGCACGTGCCACGTGCAAAACGAAGAGGTGTCAGTTTTGTAATTGTTGCAATATCTCGGTAACTACTTGGCCGATTGCGCTGAAAGTTGGCATGTAGGTAGGCACCTACTAAGCACTGCATATCCATGTGCCAGAGTTGGGGTGCTGTTGCACGTGCGCACGTGCAGGGGTCGTTTCCAGATCTCGAGAACGGCTGGACCGATGGCGCTCAAATTTGGTACACGGTTAGGGACCAGTTAGTAGGGTGCCGTACAAAAGTCGGTTGGGACCCATTTTGCACGTGCGCACGTGCAGGGTGCCGCTTCCAGATCTCGAGAACGGGTTGGCCGATTGTGCTCAAATTTGGCACATCGCTAGAAACCGGTCAGTAGGGTGCCGTGCACAAGTCAGTTGGAGGTACCCCCTCGAAATTTCGCACGTGCAAGACTCACCCCCTCCCTCGCTCCGTTAGTCGCCCCAAAAGGCGCTATACTGGTTGTAACAGTGCACAGGGGAGCCGTGCGAGCCGACAACAGCCCAGACGGATGCAGCCGTGAATTGGCATGCCCGATCAATAGAGCGAAGTGCAGCTGATTTACGTGCCGAACTGGCTTCATGGTCAGCACAATGGCGGAAATTGCCCCACACAGCCCATTTCATTCAGCCATTCCATCATACTGTTGTAGATTAATGACTACAACTAGGCTGTAGGAACAACAAATTTCCTATGCTAATGCACCTCGTTATCTCTCTGACTTCTACTCGCTGCAGAGGCATAGTGACTCCGCGGTGGTAGCTACAACTTGCCTATCTTAGCAGCCCAGCACTGGCTCAGAACTTGCTATCTCACCACTTATCTCAGACCTTGGCTAACTCATCGCTGCACCTCATGCCTTAGCTAGTTTACCACTAACTCCAGTCTCGACCAAGGGCTCGACCAAGGGCTCAGACTGTAGTTAGCTCACCACCGGCTCCGGCCCCGGCTAGCTCACCACTTAAGCTCAGATCGCAGCTCGTTTCTATGTCAGCTCACTCGTTCACCAGCCCTCAGGCTAGGTCAGAAGATGTGATATGCATACCACCGTGATGCTCTATTCCGCCATCACGGCGGCTGATCCGGCATTGAATGTCGTCCATTTCTGCGACAGCGCTGTTCCATCACTGCACGTCACTACCAATAGCTCACTGCTCGCCGACGGGGTTTGATCGTGCTTTATAAGTCGCATATATCTGTCATCGAGCGCCGACAGCTTATCACCGCCGTCCGTCCCTGCGCTGTCTGCCAGTCGGTCAGGTAAAATAACCCCCGGCGTCAGTGCCTAGTTTCTAAGAACGAAAGTAGCCTTAGTTTCATTATTCATTCTTATAAGAATTAAGTACTGTCTATTACATATCGTTTGAGTATGTATATTACCATACCTTGTGACAATGTTGGATGTAAAAATGTAGACATCAATGTGACAAAATTAGTCAGTCTGCTTACCACAATGCCACTGCTAGCCACAGAGCCACCGCAAAAGGGCCGGGTCTCGTTGCTGGCCGCCGGCGCTATTCGACCATCAAGGTTAAGCACGACACGGGGCAGCCGGCTGCCGATATCAGGAGGCCATTCTGGCAGCAGATCTATAGTCGGCCGGCGCCGACACCGGCCCGGCGGCCGGCGGAAAATCCATGGCCGCCGCCGGCACCCGGCCACCAGCCCACGGTGGCGCCGATAACCCACTGAGTTATAAAGGTGTCGCGATCTTAGCAGATGTGCGGAGGTGTTATTCAACAGTTTTTCATGTCTTCTAAATCAAAAAAGCATTGGGGTGCAATAAAATATAGCCTATTGGTTGGATATTAGCCTGGAAATTCCACAGGTATATTTTATTATCCGGCGACAGCGTCAAAATGTGGCACTAGCCCATTTAACGGCTAGGCTTTATCATCATCCCACCTTAAGAAATAGCTACAAATAATTAAAGTGAACCTGGGTCCATCTCCGACAGTTGCAGTGCAGCTATTAACCCGCGCTGCAGAGTGCAGACCGAATGAACTGAGCGTTTCCTGCAACTTCCACCCACTGATATCGCTCTGGACTTCGAGGAACGGCATTGGACCTGCTGTCGGTACTGAAAAAGGATTTTGGTAATTTATCGACATGCTGGAGCTTCTATGTTACGATAGATTACCAGTGGCCTTTCCCGAGCTAGAGCCTGAATAGAAACAAATTGCTTAGGCGTGAGATGCAACAAAAAGGAATTTTACATTTACATATTACCTACTGTAAGATCAATTGCGTCTGACAGTAAGTTTAATTACGGCGATCGTCATTGCTAACTTTTCGAAACTTCAGCTCCAGTTCGTACTACGTCCCTATCGTCATCTGATCGCTTCCCAGTCGACGGGTTAGCTACGGGACGTTTCATCGCCACCCCATTTGACCGCAATGCTCACTGGTGTGATACACTACCGGGACTCACTGACACCTGAACTACATCTCTTCGCCGACACTTTTATATTACCTCCCAACTCGCTCACAAAAAAATCTCGCAGCCATCCCAAGTAGCGGCTCCATTAAGTTTATCTCGGTGCATGTATCGCCTGCGGTTGACAGCCACCGGCGCAGAACTAGCTGTCCGTTATGCCGACCTCTTTACCGCGCCACTGGATGCATATTTCCAAGTAAACATGCGCAGAACTAGAAGCAGCTGGAAACGCTGCAAATATTCCCAGAAAGGCGTTTGTAGATACGAGTATGCGAATCGTCTCATATCAGGAATGTGCGTGGGTTTTTAAAATCGGTGAACATGATTTTGAGATGCCGTATATTGTATTGTATTGTATTGTATTACCTTCATGGACAATCCACGCGGGGCGTGGCGATTAATATCATGGAGGAAGATTGAAGATTCCAAGAGTTACGTTTCGAAAAGTCAGATTTGAGCGCTTAACAAAATTGATACCGAGAAGTACGGGTACGTGACACGACAATGTAAAATGTAGATTTGTTATACATTCATATCTCATAAAAGCTATAATTCTTCATATAGCTGCAACGCATCCAAAACTATGCGAGCTGTGTGATGAACGGAGTTCTACTTCTGTATTGAAATGCGTTCACCAGGTATAGGTAGGGAATTTGTAGTCTAAGAATATCCAGGCCATCCCTTGATGACTTGAGAGGCCACCTGCACAACTAAGCAGGGCAGTGTCATAAGCCTCTATTGATGCACATTTCCATTAGTTTCGAGACGTAGGTAATGCCCACTAAAAATTAAACCAGCTTTTCCATTATGCACAGAGATACGAGAGGGCTCACGCACGCTCACTCAATCTTTAGTTGGAAATGTGCTAAGCAGCTCAAGGTATTCATGAATCGGCGACACGGATTTTGCATTTATGACTCTTAAGTGGAAGCCACCGATATATCGACTTAGCTGTGACACGGCTGGGCAGCCGAAACTACGAACATTTGCTATGCGATCATTATGCTACCAATAAGCGGTGTCGAGCTACAAATGTCATCTTAAGTGTTGAGCTAGAATAAAAGCAGCACATCTTTTTGTCTGCATTCGGGAAAGGTAGGTGCAAACCGTTCAGAATAAGAACACAAAAAAACAGGTCATTTCCACAGGAACTTTTACGGTGTGCACGTCGAAGGCCCCCCAATTTTCAACTCGCCGTATTCTTGCCATTGGACGTCCTCAGGATAATCAGATTTGAATTCTACAACCCCAGTTCTGACGTACTTACATGTCAACTTCAAACCACAGCTGACTAAATTAGTCCAACACCCACATGATCCCAAATAACACTCCAGACTCGACCCAGCCTCCCTTCATCCAACCTTCTCCAGGTCCCATCCTCTGCGGGACACCCGGTAAAAGTCGTCTCTCGCCCCTCCCCGCCGGCAGTGGACTCACCAAACAAATCGACCGGCTAATGCCAGCGCTCCGTGTGTAATCTAGGCTGGCCGGCGTCCCAGCCCGCAGAAGGGTGTGGATGTGCGAGCATCACACCCGCCCCGCCCCGCCCGGGCGGGGCGGGGGGGGGCGCCCGCCGGCTGTCCGCCTCCCTCCGCGCGGGACTTTTCCTAGACATACCGGGGGAAAAGTGGGACACTACACCGCAGTGCGGGGATTCAGTTATTTTGGGTGTAGGATTATGCTGCTGTTTTTCTGTTGGAAGTTTGTTTTCAGCTGATGGCGAGGAAAGATGTCACGCATAATTGGTTGAAAGTCATAAATGAGATTTGCGTGCTGCCATTTGTATGCATCATGCGTGTCTTGTGTGGAAAATCAATACGCCTGAGGAGTAGAAATGCTGTACTCGCTTATGCCAGTGAGAGCAAATAATGCTTTGAGTGCCATGGGCCATGGCAATGATGCCGCACAATCAATATCAAGACTTCAAAGACTGTCAGTTGAACGACCGGCTCGGCGTCCTACTCTTGTACAGGACTAGTTATTTGCCGCGGGACAAGCGTGACTTTTATCTCAGACACTTGACTCTGTGCCACACAACTGACCAGCCACGGTCAGTTTCGTCAACTTAAATCCACACCTTTTCCAGAGCTAGAGTGGGTTCTTTATAATGTATACAGTCGCTCTCAAATGCAGCAGTAGTAGAGAATCTGTAACTCACAGTCGGTTCTCAGGAGAAGACATACGTCACTCATTTCGAATTCTTCCTGGTAGAGGTAGAAGGGTACGAATCGATAATCGATTATTCGCTGCTAACTTTTCAGGGAAGTGCAGAATTACAAAGATGGCCCACACTATTCCTTTGTCATGAACCATGGCGTGCGTTCAAGTTGGCTGCATAGGATTATTTTATAACCCTTTTTATATTAGAGTTGCCAAATCACGGCCATTTATTTAGATTCTAAAGCAGCGCAATTATTGACTCCCTCCACGAAGAAGAGGGGCAAACCACCCCTCACAGCTCCTCTCCAGGTATCAGAGGTGCAAACCACCCCTCATCGCCCTCTCCCCTAGGTATCAGAGATGCAAACCACCCCTCACAACTCCTCATCAGGTATCCGAGGTGTAAACCACTCACCGCTCGCATCTCTCTCTCTCTCTCTCTCTCTCTCTCTCTCTCTCTCTCTCTCTCTCTCTCTCTCTCTCTCTCTCTCTCTCTCTCTCTCTCAGGTACAGAGGTGCAAACCGCCACTCACCGCCCTCTCGCCCAGGTGGTATATGCGGCAGAGCAGGCGGGCCGTCTGTCCCACGCTGGCCGTGACATTCGCCGTGCCTCCGTACTCCAGGCGCGGCATCTGACCCGAGCTGCCGGCCCCTCCGAGGTAATCCGAGGCACCCACCACCACCGGCTCGGCGACACTCGCTGAAAGAGAGTGACACAGGTCAGTGACAGGGGTCACGGGGTCAAAACAGAGGGGTCGTGGGGTCAATAGAGGGGTCATGGAGACAGACAGAGGGGTTATGGTGGTCGTAGGGTTCTGGAGTCAACAGACGGGTCAGGTCAGTCGGATGGGTCACATTGTCGGACGGTGGGATCAGATGGTCAGATACAGAGGTCTTGTGGTCAGACAAGGAGGTCAGTCAGTAGTCGCGTGGTCAGACGGAGGACTTACCTGGCTGTGTGGCTATGGAGTGTCGCTTAGCATTAACTAGGGTGGTTGGTTGTAAGGCGGTAACCTAAAATAATAACTGTGTAGATAGGCAATTAGTATATCATTCGTATGGATGTATTTCTAGGCGTTTTGGAAAGAAAAGGGCAGATTATTTTTTATCTTTTATTTTCCAATGTTATATCTTGTCGCAATCATAGCTAATTTATGATGCCAAAACGCATAACCGCTCTGGCTCGGCTATCTGTGCGGAAATAATTAGCTACGATCTGCGAGCCAGCCAGGGTAAATTTGGCCGGTAGACTGAGATGGTTCGTTCGGGTGCTCCACGAATTTCAGGCCTGGGCTAAATGCAAACCTGGCTAATTTTCCTTATCTAGGGAACTTCCATACCGCGCCAAGGGTGAAAATACGTTCATAAATCTTCGTCGGAGCGGTGCTGCGCGTGCGGGAAACTTGTGAGTCTCGGCACGCCACGCCAGCCTCGTCCAGCCTTCAGTTTCAGACGCTCACCCAGCACATTTAGTTTGTCCCGTATTCGTAGTGGATGAAACGTTTCAATGTAGCCTTCTAGCCATGAATATGCAACTATACAGGATGATACACATTACACATTACACCATTTACAAAATTCATGTGTGCGAATTGATAAAGTCTAACAGCCGTGCATTGAGGTCCAAACTGTACCTGTCCTTAAGTAAATGCTAAAAAACATATAACCTGACACGAGTATATCACTACTGGTGCTCGGGAGGGATGATCATCGGTTCTATTCTGGTCGTAATCAGCGTGCCGCAGCTGCCATGGTTGGTGGGCAGACGGCACGGCTCACCAGTGTGTCCCTGGTGGCGGAGGATGCTCATTATTTTCCGTCATGGTTGCGTCATTTTTCTGATTAGTTACCCAACCCAAGGCCGTCGTACCGGGTTCTTGATCTCTGACGTGCCATAATATATTTTTTTTTATGCCTGACGGGATTATTTTTTGGCGGTCTGTTTTTCTTTCAGAGTAGGCTCGCGAACGGGTCTTCTCCGCTTGACTGATACGCCTTCCAGCAGAATGCGTCATGGCACTGAAAGTTTATTCACTATTCCATCAGACTCACCAGTCAAATCACTCGAACGTTTAAAAACAAAGTTGTAATTTTCATCCCAAGCTTGCAAACGCTTTAATCTTACACAACCCTCTCTTTTCGCATAACAGCCTCTCGGCTTTTGGTCACACCGAAGGCCGGTTGGTCACACCGACCACACACAGCCGGTGATCGTCGTGAGTTCTGCTGGAACGACTTTCGGCTGGCTTAGTTCTCACGTCAATGCGCCGGTCAATAACAAATGGCTATGACATTGTGCAGTTGGCCGAGCAGCTGGAGGGTTCTCGGCCGGCGCCGGTCAGCCGGATAAACGATGATTGGCACTCCATGAGGTGACCTGCCACCGGCCAGACAGGTCTGTCTTATTTCCGATCAGCTGGGTAATCCAGTCATTTCTCGTGCTAAGTAAGTATGTAAATATAAAGGTATACAAATTAAGACAATGTCAAATGTTTTGAACATTGAACACCCACTCTATTCTAATTTCTGTTGACCGTGGATGCTTGAGAATTGTGGCATAATTGTACAGTCCACAGCAGAAGTAATGTAGGGTTTCAGTCATGAGTATGTTCTGCTTCTGAAGCTTAGGAACGATTAGCCAGACTACAGTGAAGCTTTGAATGTAGCTTATATGTATCGTCACCCTTGCAGCTGCAACTTTAGCTAATGACATCTTTTCGATTACTCCGCACTAAACAATCGCCATTCAAAGCCAACCGTTGAGATTGGTAAAACCCTACATTACTTTAGCGGTGGGCTGTACCAGCGCCTTGGTACGGTGGATTTCTTACGCCCTGCCCAATAATGATCACAAATGTTGAATCGAGAGGAAGTCGTAGCAACTCCCCGTCACCCCTAAATGACATGTGCGAATTAACAAACATTTGCATAAAACGTTGGTCGTTGATGCACTACAGCTGATTGAGCAGGCATCCTAGATTACCGATGCTTGGAATATTAAATTATGCAGCCTTGTTGAAATTCGTTTCCATAAACAACGTCCTTTGTTTGCCCCTGTGCAGCGCTAAACTAAGGGGTAAACAAAAGGCAATTGGAGTCGTGTTTACAGCCATGTACATGCTCCAAGTCTCCTTTGAACAAGTGGGCCTGCAAAACGGCTTATTCCAGTTCTCTCGTGTGCAGGTCTGAACCGTGCGGTTCATTACACGGTCAGTAGGTATACTCACTGAGGGCTGAGCGCCCTCCAAAAACGTCGCGCCGCTCGGCTCTAAGACGTCGTTAGGCGGCCGGCTGCGCTCCGCACACTGAGTCGAGCCGAGAATCATACCGCCGGCCCTTCTGATGAACCGGCGTCCCGTTTGAAGCCCACGGCGGCCCTGAATGCCCGGGGAGCGGTCATTACGAGCTGACTGGGGTTTCTGTGAGTGGCGGGCTGGCTTCACCCACCGTACGGCGGCTGGTGGCGCCCGGGCCCTGTTAGTAACACCACCCGAGCCCAGCGGCCAGCCATGTCCGCGAACTGCCCGACTGTGCCACTCTTGAGCGGGTGTTTATGGTTTATGGATCAATGAGTAGAACTTAGACAGGTGCTAACGGTCTGTAATTACTCACAACATGCCTAGTTTAAAATCTGTGTGGCGTGGCTTCAGCTTAAGCGCCATTAAGAAGCAATTAATGGTCCATTCAGAACGGCCTACAAGGTGTGCCAGCGCTCTTCGAGACCGATATTGCCCAATGAACCTGGCCGTATTTCAGCATTAGTACACTTACAGCGCTGACGACAGCTATCCGGCACATTTTGTTCGTTCCGCTAACGCAACAGACCAGTGTGTCAAAGAATTCTAGCTTCGCTTTGTCACGAACTTAGGCTAATTGCTGGAACTTTGTCCTTAAGTTGGCTAACCACGAGAAAAGGAGTGCGAACGATCACATAGGATGCTTGAATTCGTAGAGCAGTTTGAAGGTTTCGTAAGCGTTAAATTTAAATACCTGTTTTTTTCTTTTACGCTGCCACCAGTCGTGCCATCGTTTTATGAATTTTAATGACTTTTTTCTTGCCTTTTGTCTTTCGTACTCACTTCTTTTATCCTTTTCGTTTCACGTGTTCCTTTATCACTGTTGGTATTTGCACCAATTTCACTTACTTCCGTTTTGTTTTGTTCCCATTTTTCTTTCTATCTCACCACAGTCCATTGGCAACAAAAATTTCATTTAGATTTGCTCCTCGGACTTTGCGTTGAGTAGCCTGCCCGTTGGTTAATATTTCGAATTGCGACTGGCCCTCCACTGAATTATCACTTTCCTTCCGTATGACTTCCTCGATGTGTGCGTCTGTGTGTCCGTTTCCAGGAAGGTCGGCCCCACAGTCCGGTTGTCCGATTGTCCGGCTGTCCGACAATGTGTCCGCCGGACACTGGCGTGCGTGCAGCTTCCCAGGCTGCTAAATAATGGCGGTGGTGGTCAGTAATTATTGGTGGGCGCGGCGGCGGTCGGCCGGCGCCGGGTGAGACCACACGGGCCTGTTTACTGGCTCTATCCCCCTGATTATACGCCGCTAATTACCGAACTATAACGGTACTCAATCTACCCGGCCGCCGGGACTCACACGCGATCCGGACATGTGGCCCGGTTTGCGCCAATAATGTCCACTCTCAATCAAAGGCCGCCGGTAAGTCAGACTCGGCGTGCCTTGAAACTGACTAATTGGAACTTATTAGAAGGAATAGGGAAATAATGGGACCCTGGTTTGGTATGAATAATACATTTTATGAACGGACATGACGGGGAACTAATGGCTCATGCGCCGCGCTGGTGTCTTTGGCGGGGGTTTCTGCTTTGATGGGACCGTGTCCATTATGGTGCGGACACATCTTTCGATGAGCAGTGACTACATGTCGAGTGATCACTGGCCTCCATTAACTAATGTACTGACTGATGGCAGCCCGATGGATAATGGTGAGCTCTCTGACATATATCAGAGCGCAGTGTCGGCCACGCCAAACGGTGAGCCGCACGGCCTGCGGACGACCAGCCTGTATTGCGTTGTATTTACGATCATGGGCGATCCACACATCTGCTTGTCCATGCGTATCGCGTAATTCCATGGACAGCATTTCTGCATCTTTTCTTGCTGAAGTCACCGGCATTTGTCAACTAATGTCAGGCTTTGAGTCTACGAGTAAGGTGCGACTGAAAAAAGAGTCGGCGGCCCGACTCTTTTTGTCATTTTCTGTGCAGCGAACACACGGTTCTGTTCACCTAAACGTCCGTCAAGCATCGCTTGCCTTCATCACAACTCAAAGGATATACGCGAAACCACTCGCGAGGCATTCCAGCTAGACGTCAGCTGGAGGCCACTTCATCATTAAGTTGAACACCGTCTGGTTCTCCTACTCACTCATATCTGGCTGGCTCCACCGGACCTCTACCTATATCACGGCCAAGGTAGGACACCAGAGACACGCCCGCCCGGTGCCGCGGCGGACTGCAGACCGGCGCGAGCGGCAGCGTTCCGCGGTTTTCACCGGCCGCACCGCGGCCCAGGTCCGGGTCTGCGGCAGCCGACTAGATTAGATGGATAGTTTTGGGCCGGCCGACGGCGCCGGCGGAGATGAGCGCCCAGAACAAGGCAGACATTCCGGAGATTGAAGAGGCAGAGCGCGCATTGTTCATTCGCCTAGCAGGAAGAGTGGAGCCATT